TATAATTTAATTTATATACAATAAAAAAGGAATTTTGTATTATATTTACATTCCATAAGGAATTGTAATACAAAATTCTTCATAAGTTTTAAGCTATAATGTAATTTAGAAATAAAAAGATTACTTAATCTAATACTACTTTATACAATTTTTATGAAAACTTAAAGTATTAAAGTGTTTATAACGTTCGACAATTATTGTAAATAATTATTTTTTAAGAGGACGTCGTCACTTCTTTATATGTTGACCCCATATTACAAAGTACAGCATAGCAATTTTTACGTTCACGTTAATCCATTTTACTCCGTAATTAGTTATGCAATTAGTTATAAGAGTAACTTTTTATAAGACATATAGGTAAAATTATTATGAAGGGCAGCTCGGAAACTTTTATTGATATTCCTTAGATAATATTATCTTTTCTTTATATTTTATATTAGGTAAATTCGCTTTAATATCATTAAAAACGGAGTACTAATGGATAATTTATTTACTATGATGTACGTTTGTAATACGGAAATAACAAATGCGGGTGTAGCGCTCGTTTAATGAAAATTGAATGTTAAGTAATATTATGATTATCTATCGTACAAGTTAATATACAGGAATCTATAAAAAATAGAAAATAAAATTGTTTGTTTAATCAAATGGTGTGATAAAACCAGCTCTTGTGTTAATAGTTTGGTATGTATTTAGATTTTTTAGGTGGGGGAAGAGGAGAGGGACTGATCATTTGTAATGTAGTCAAGTATTGACAAAGATGTTTCATAATTTTGTTTTGTTAATGTTATAAACTTAAGTAATTTTAGAATATTGCAGAAACCTTCTTATAAATTATAAATTTAGTATATAGTTATGAACTTAAGTATTACATGTAATGCGTTAACAAAAAACTGAAAGTAATAAACTACTTTTTAATTTTACCTAATTTTAAATGTCATTATGTAATAAATACCATGGGTTAGGTAAGGTAAAATAACTAATAAGTATCTAGGCACCTATATTAATTTTGTAATACTTAATAATATGTTAATAAAATTAAATGTTTAAATTTAATACCGTTATTTGTTTTCTATACTTTTATCTCAAAAATAAAAATAAAATATATTTGGTTAAGTCAGATGTTTCATCTTATTTCGAGTCATTGGTACCTGCTGTCACAATAGCCACCGACGCGGGTAGACTGCATTGAATACACCACAACGTTGCATCAAAATATGTATGAGTGAGAACAACATTTATTTTTGCATAATAATACAATAATCATATTAAAGGATGATGGTGTAGACGAGAGGGGTGGGTGGTGATGCGGTAAAGTAGTATTGTTGTCGAGCACGATCCCCTATTAAGTATACTGGAATTATTACCAATATAATATTGTAGAACAGCGGTTCTCAAACTGTGCTCCGCGGAGCCCTTGAGGCTCCTCAATGGTTTCCCAGAGGCTCCGTTCATTATTGTCCGTATGTATACAGTTCGTGTAAATTATGATTCATAGAACACAGGCAAATGCAAATTAACGTTAAATATTTCTTAGGGCTCCACGAGAAACTTCTCCTTAAAAAAAGGCTCCGAGACTGAAAAAGTTTGAGAACCGCTGTTGTAGAAGACAACGGAATACATTGCACTTATATTGCTTACCTAATTTTTCTATAACAATACAATTTTATTTCTAGAAAAGTATACTGATATAATGAAACCAATTTAATAATGGTTGTAAAAAAAAAAAAAAAATGTAGGCAAATACATATGTACTACTTTTCTGAACAGTGGGTATCGAATTGATCACTGTGTTGAATGTGTTACAGATAAAAAAAAAATTAATAAAAAAGCACGTATTAGTGTGAAATCAATATATTCATTACTTTACTTAGAATCTAAAATATTATTTTTAATATAGTTCAAAAAAATATGGTAACTTCGCTATAATTTAGCCGATAAAAGTAGTCTTAAAAATTATTATACGAAACGCTGATAATTTTTGCCTGATGAAACACATGTTTTAATATCGCTTGAGTGTATTAGTGTGTAGTATTTTTAAAAAGGGAGATGATGATTTAAAAATGGCAGTTTCGTTTGGACGAAGGGAGGTGTGTGTTACTATCCATTCATGCTCAATGTCACTGACTCAGATTCATATTACAAGTTCAGAACTAACATTTTCACTAAAATGTGACTATTATAGATTTATTAGCAAGTCATATTTTATGAAATGACATATTTCTCTTCTAACTCGTCTTCCGAGAATATATGTTGCCGATCGACGTGTCGCGAAAATATACAACTCTCTGGTACTTGCGCAGCAACCAAAATAATAAACATAATATTTTATACCATATTATTTTATATAAAAATATTGTGTAGCCCGGGCAGATGTTATTGATTGACGCAAATGCTACCCAACTCCGCACCTGCTGTATAAACGCCCTATCGATCGTTCGACCCTCGACAGTTACACCCTACACTTACCCGTCCGAAAGTAAACGCCCAATTTCGATTTCAATTACCACATGCGTAGATACAGACTACAAAATATCTTATAAATAACTAATAAGTCTAAAAACCTAACGGAGTGTGAATGTTACTGGGTATTATATTAATAATATTATATATTAAACTCTACGGAAGACTCCGTCTACAACGAATAACACGAATAATATATTTACGTAGAGCAATTCGCGTTTAATTTAGTTAATTTTAATATAACAGTGAGTTGTGAGCATTTTTAAATTGTAATATTTCACATATTTAATAGTTTGTGCTGTGCACTTGTTAAGTGTTAATTGTCTTGTAACCTGCTAATCGCAGTGCTATATCATCGCTAAGAATCAGGCCCCTTAAAATGAGGGGATGACGAAGGGAGCAGTCACCTTTAACTATAATAATTGCAATGTTTTTAAATATAAAAGTGAGTACGCTTTGTCTATAAGCTAATAATTATTACAATTTGATTATATTTTATAATCGGTCAAAACCAAGGTTACCGTTCTATACACTTAGAACGCTACTTTGAGAAGCCCCTGCAATAATACAATAGACGTTCGACTTGTCGCATAATTCTCGTGTACACGTCAATAGTGTAAAAAGGGAGATTCTGAAACCACCACCACCACCCACTACGCACACAACCAACTATTCACCTCTCCCATGCATGCCCCGGTAGTGGCGGCGGCGACAGGATCAGGCTGTGGGCTGAGGGGTAGTGAATGGTGGTAGGCTGCGAGGTAGTGGGTGGTGATGGGCTGTGAGGTAATGGATAGTAGTGGTGTGGTGAAGTGATGGCATACGAGAGGAGGGTAGTGGGTGGTGGTGGTGTCTTTAGAATCCTCCTTTTTACACTACAGTCCAAACAGTCTGCTAGTATGGTATCTGCAGATAAATATAGTTACATCAAAACAATTTGTATTACAAGAACGCAAGGTCGTACCAAAAAACTTCGGGGGGGTGGGGGTATACAAATCATAGTAAGTGATTTATAAAATAACGAACAATTTATTAATGTTTCAAAACAATTTAACATAAATATTTTAAGCACCCACACATAAATTAATAAGATTTATTAATAATTATTAAAAAAAGGCATAGTACAAAACAAAATTCAATTTTACGGCACAAAAATCTATTTTTTTTCTTCTTTCTTAGGATCGACATGAATATTTCCATGTACACTAAATAATGCTTAACCGGTTACCTAGTCTAACTTCAACGATAGCGTTTTATAAATAGTTCTTTTTAGAGAAAAAAATGTCCTTATTATAACCTATGTCTTAAATACAATTAGATTAGATACTTTAGAATGTAGGTAATAAAAATTATCAAGACTACTATTGTTAAAGGCTTTTTAATATAGATCCCTACCTCCATTTTGTTGGAAGATAAATATTGATTTGGAAATTTAATCTACACTGTATTAATATTATATTATTTATATCGCAATTTTTTTTGTTTTAATTATGCTTTGGCAACTATGATCATTAGCACTATTCAATGGCTGCGTTTAACACTACGCCACACAATTTCCTAATAGCCCTATATTGAAATTGTTTGAGTTTTAATGCTATTATATTAATAATAATTAATAATACGGATGTTAAGTTAGCATAGTGCGATAAAATTTCGGGATGGGAACGGTTGGTGAGGTGTGGAAAGGGAGTGGTTTGACCCCCCCCCCCCCACCTATCAGTATGATCTTGTGAGTGCGGTCTTACAGCCGTTCGCTACAAGATTGTTATTACATATATCTGGTAAATTTCTTGTTGAAATGTACTAAAAATGTATAGCAATTTAATGTGAATTTGTATAAGTGACTTGTCTGTCGTTACATTTTAGTTATACACTGATTTTTGTCGACATACCTAATATAACTTTGATATGTTCATGAGCATTGTACAAAACATGAACGATTTCATTAGAATGATAAATGTTTCGACATTAAACAGACCCATTCTATAATCTATATATTACATAGTATAATTTGATAAATAATTTATGAGATTTTCGATGATATAATCTATCGAAGTCCCTTTCACCAAGACGAACAATGTCATTACTCATTATACATATTGTATACAAATATGTACTTTTAAAAATTATTTTGGAACGACAAAATATATGTTATTATTCTATGGTATCTAAATATGGGATCTTTTTTCCGCTGTCTATAGGAAAACAAATATATTTACTATGTATTTTCAGTGCGAGTGATTTTTGACCCTTCGTTTAAAGATTACCGAGCGACTGAAAACAGTATAACAACAGCAACGTATTATACAAGGGCATTTACTATTGATTCTTTACGTTATTGCCTCTCGGGTACGTTCGGGTACATTCGTTTTTAACCGATCACCGGGCGGGTGGCACCAGCTGCGCAGTTAAATCTCCCCGATGTCACCGCTAGGCTACAGTTTTTAATTTGTAGCGACTAGCGTTACTTGCGTTCATTATTGCGTCGGTGCATATGTTAAGTACCTATCTATTTGTTATCAAATAGTTTTTTACCATTTAAACATTTTATTTACTCAACTTTCTACGACCTTTTTCATAAGCTCGTTACAGTAAATAGTTTAGACATTTATCGTGTGAGTAGTATGTTTTTGTTTTGATAAAAAAGCAACAGGTGATATTTCATATCACAGCTTTTCAAGCGCTGCCTTTATCGGTTTTATTAACATTTGTGTTTGTTTTACAGTAATGCCTCTTCTAGCAGAACCCCTACGGCCATTGTTATTTGTCATTGTTTCATGATTTAAAAGCGTCTTACTAAGCAGACTATCTATTTTATCTTAGCATCTGAAACACGAACTAAACAACGTCTAGCGACTCTCTGGTAAAATAACTGATTTTGATATATTACTATTTTATTTTTGTAATAGAAATCTTATTTCTGTACTGTTTATTTGTGTTCTAGTGAATACCACCTTGGACCAAACTTTAATGATTAAAGTTTAATTAACTGGAATTCAACTGGCATAATAAGATCAAATTGAATAAAATTAGTCATTTTTACCAACGCCAAGGTTTACAACAGGTACTACATTTTAACTATAAATCCAATATTATCAGTGTAGTATACTTTATTCTTATCTAGGTAATGATCAGAATCCTTTAATTATTACATAAATATGTTATTGTTTTTGTATATTGATGACCTTTATTTTTTTTAAATCTAAAATAATTTTGCAATATTCAGTTACAATGATAAAATATATCATGGTATAATATGGTAACATCTTAATATTTTTTTTTACTTGGCAAAGAAGCTTTTTATCAAAATTATTTCAAATTGTTAATACTTTTCCGTTATATTGACTACTATCTAATGCAATGACCAACAGTTCAATGCCATGCTGTTATTTTAGTACCACTTGACTCAATTTTTCTATTTATTTTGTATAATACAGAATATTATTACTAGTTTAGCTTATATAATGCACATTTGTATTAGTTTATAAAAAAATAATAGACCATTTAAAAATTAGTTACCAGTATATATTGCATTATGAAAATATTTAATTTTTGGTTTAATTGAAATGTTTTTGACATAATTTGGCATGAGATTAGTGGATATCAGTTAGCAATTATTTGGACGTAGAATCTACCATAGTGAAGTCAATCGAGCAAGTACAATGACTGTTTAAATTTTTAAGTTTTTATGTAGATTTGCATTTGATTTTGCAGTTATCAAACAGTTCTTTTATATTGCATTGTATTTAAATAATTTAATTGTACGAAGATTTGATGTTTTGGCTATACCTTATATTTGTACTTCGTAAGAAACTAGCCTTTAATTCTTGTATGAAAAACGATTCATTTTAACCCATTTCAAATCCAGTCCAAGTAAATTAGCTATTTACATTTTTTTCCATTAACTAAGTAATAATATTACTTTTCTGCACAATATTTTTTTTACAATTTTTTGGTTACCTAGAATTGTTTAAAAACAATGTATTTTTCCTGGTAAGTTGGAACATTGAGATAATCTTGATAATTTTATTAATGAAGGTCTAATTTTATTGCATTATGTTTTTTTTCTTACACCTATAATCTAATTGAATATATCTTGAAAATCTTTAAAATATTAAGGTTTTCTATTACTAATTAGTTCTTAATTTTAGTTTTCAATTTTAAATATGATATACTTGATAAATTTAACTTATAAAAATTGTGAAAGTTTATAGAGTTTATTTACTATAAAGTAAATTAACTGTAAAGCTAATAATTTTGAATGAATACTAATTTTATTTATATTTTTGTATACAGTACGCATAATTCTAATTTTTTTTTTAAACAATTTTTATATTTGTAAATAGTAAATTTGTTACGATAATACTTCCTATCCACTAAAAATGTTCTGTACAAAGACGTTAGATAAACAAAACCAAAAAAATTCACTATCTATTTATGTACACTTTACATAATATTTATTTACATTTTTGATGATATAATAAATAGAGAAGAAATGTATAAGCTTTACTATTTTTTCAAACTAATCAAGGTTCAATAGAGATCTCATATAATTTAACTTATTATTACTTTCGTATTATTAATATTTAAACACTAATCTTTTTTATTTACTTATCCAATTGGTCTAAATGATTATGTTTGATTTTAAAATCTATCAAGTATTTAAATAAATAAAAATTACTGAATACTTTTCGTATTTTATTTAATATGAAATTAATAATTAAACCTAGACATACATTATAAAATACTAATGATTAATGTTATTATACTTTTCAATTTTATTTTATTTATCAGTTTAATATTATGTTAATTTTTGTTTAAGTTAATAAAATTATAATCAACAATCAAATTGAACTTAAACATTAGAATTAGTTGAAATTCAGAAATTTACTTTTAAGTATATTTAATAAAAAGAAAAATACAACGATAAAATATTTTGGAAATATTAAGTATTGTTAATAAACATTAACTTCATAAATTTTAAATATGTAATAGATAAGTTAGATAAGTTGTTTAAATTTTAAAAAAATAGGACAAATATTATTTTTAATTTTATTTAATGATATTTTCATTTTTTTGTTTATTGATTTTGTTTAATTTTTTAATATTTTTCTATCTTATGTTATAGTAAATGTTTAAAAGCTCTGAATTAAACTTCATGTTTTATATTAAAATTAAATAAATAACTTGATATCAATCGTAAAATTATAAAATCGTGAACAATTTTTAACATTTTTATATTTCTAAAAAAAATAATAATAATAAGTCTATTCATAATAGATAGGCATGGTTTTCATTAAATTTCAGAAATTGACTAATGGATGGAATAGTAAAATATTTGATTATTTGAATTAATTCAACTTAATTTGTTAGATTTGTATGTTTCTAATCAAATATATGAAGTTAAATTTGTTTTATGTTATTATTTTATGCAATTCAAGCATTTAAATATGAAAATATTAACTCAATATACATTATTTATTTCATTTTCTGCTTCAAATAGGGCTGGCAGCAACTGAGATGCGTAACTGAATTACGTTTGTAACTTGTATTTTGTATTTAAATACATTTTTGATGGTAACTTGTGATTAAAAGATACAAGTTACTTTTAATACTGTAATTTTTTTCTTATTTTAACTTTAGATTATTTTTACATTTTGTACAATATGATAATTAGGGAGAATGTACACAATTCAAACATTTCATAAATAAAATTAAGGGATACCTTACACATTAAGATAAAATAAGTTATTAGAAGTTTTAAACTTATTGAAACCTATTTCTCAATCATCAGATTATTTACTGTCTGAAAATAATTGTTATTACAGTCAACTTTTTCTCATCTTGTTTTCATTAAAATCTTGACTGAAATTATTGAAAAAAAAACATTTTCAATATCTTTCAAACTGTATTGATCCAATGATTTCTAAATTAGAAAACAGATTTAGCTCATTTTTTAATCTTTAATGTGATGTAATTTATGCTATTTTAGCCACATTTTTTTATCCTATATTTAAATTTAGATGGATCCCTAATAATTTGGATGAGTCTATTAAAATTCATATTCAAAATCTATGTATTGATAGTTAAGTGAGCTAACTGCTTATTGAGCAGTATGAAAAATTAGATAAATTAAATTGTTTTAATATATCAGAAGAAGGATAACTTTCTTATGTTCCCATCTTCAGGAACAGGAAAAGGGCCATCAATAGATAGTTATAAAAATAAAGTATACTTAGAATTATTGCAATATTTAAATGATAAAAATAAATCTTTGGTTTCTTTAAATAAATATTCTATAATCAAAGCTATTTGTTAAGTACACTACAGATGGGTATTTTTCTGTGCCAGACGAAAGATTTATTTTCATTTTCTAGTTTTATAATATCCTCTACAAGGTTTTGTTTATCTAATAATTTTGAAAAATTTGTGTTTTTAAAAAGAAATTATAACCATAATATTTAATGTAAACATTTTACATAACATAAATTTTATAGTTCAATTATGTTGTTTTTTAACATTGTGTACCTGAGCAATTAACATTTTATAATTTATTTCAAGATACTTATTATTTTTTATACTATTTTTATTCTTAAATAATTTAGTCATTAAAATAATAAAAATAATGATTTAAAATTGAAATGATATATTTTATTTTTGTTATTTTTGATGTTGTATGCGCACTTCCAGCAATCAAGTTTTTAGGTGTTTTGAGTGAATAATTGTAATCATTTAAAATAATAATTATATTTATTTAGTATAAACTAAAGTATAATATGTGAAATCGTAATATAGCGGCTAAGTGACTGAAGTTGCTCAGGTCTTAATGGCTATGGTACATCTGACATTGTTGCTCTCTGGGCTCCCTTATATATAAAATAAGTTCCTTGTTATTCTAGCTCACGGCCTTGCATTTCGTAAATATCCTTGGAATCGTTTTTGATACTTGTAATTTTTGAAGAACAATCTCTAGGATGCAATTTACTCATAATTGCCAACATGTCTCAGCGCAAATTTTATTGCAAACGGGTGACCTCAATGATACATTTCACTCGACCTCTACACGCACAATGCACTATCGCAATGTGTTATAACATATATAATCAAGTTTTGTAGCCCACAACAATGTAATTTGTATCTTTTATGTAACCTAAATACATAACTTGTATTTTGTATTTGGGAACAATTTTTTAAAGTAAATAATTACTTGTATTTAGATACAATATTTTTGAGTAACTTATAACTTGTATCTGGTTATTGTTTATTGAATAACTTTCCCAGCCCTGGCTTCAGATTATGTTGTCATATAAAAGAATAAAAATATTTTAAAAATTATAGTAATAAAAAGTACTTAAAAAAATTATTTTTAAAAACATTTATAGATTTTGAAATAATAAGAGTTGTTTGATTAAAGAATTACTCTGTTTACATATATTATTGAACAATTAAGAGTCATTGAAGGAATTTAAAATTTAAACATCAACAAAGACATTATTTTTGTGTAAATGTATAGAATAACTATAATTACTAACTATTAATAAATTATGCAATATCTCTAATTTGTTTTTCTTTTATTAATTTTTTTAAACATAGTAGCCTGAGTAGAAGAAGCACTTGATTACTTGCTACTGGGTGTATATTTACTATGTGTTAAAGGAAAAACAGCCAACTTCGATTCAAATTGTATTTGTGGTAAGTTATTTTTATAAGCTTAAAACAGTTTTTGTGTTAATATGAAACATAAACTTTAGATACTGGGCTTAATGATTGTTTGATGATCATTTGAATGAAGGAAAAAGATACAGCAGTCAAAATGGAGATGGATAGGTAAGAAATAATTTTTTAGAAATATAAATGTATTTAAACAAAAAAAAAATTTATTATAGATTAAATAAAGACAAAACTGATATTTTTACTAAATTATCAAGAACTCTTTACATCGGTAACTTAAATGAAAATATAAGTTATACTACACTACATAAATATTTTGAAGAATTTGGAGATATTATTGTACGTAATTTTCAAGCATGTTATTACTTGTATATTATACTATTTTACATTTAGAGCATTGCTTATTTATACTAAAATATTGATTTTTGATTTCAGAGCATTAGTATTAAACAGAAAAATTATATTAGTGATTTCTCACTAAGAATATATGCATCCATTCAATATTTTGATCCCAGCAGTGTAGTCCTTGCTATGCTTAAAATGAATGCTGTAATTATGGAAGATTGTCATATAAGTTTGGGTTTTGGAAAATCCCATCCATCAAAATGTGTTTTGGTCACTGGTCTTAAAGGTTTAATACAAAATAATTTTATACTGTCTTATTTAGCTGATTGCGGTCCAATTATATCATGTTCAATTGATCATATAAATGAACGGGCTTTAATATATTTTAAAGAGGTAAGATTTGATTCCATTAATTATTTATTATTTTTTGTATATATTTGACTAAAAAAAAAAAAAAAAAAAAAACACTTAAAATATAATCATAGTTTAAAAACCTAATACAAGACAATATTTTCTCTATTATAGTATTTATATTTTTGAATGAAAAAACATATACAAGCATAGTGTGCTACTTATTATTTTCTTTACTACATTAAAAAGGTTTAATCATATATTTTTAAAATTATGATTCAAAAAAAATATATATCAATGAGCTTTTTTTAGTAATATAACTATATTAATAATTAGTTAATAGAGGCAACCTAGATACTGCAATGCAAAATTAAAATGTCACAACATTTATTTCATCTTTGTTATTGTTTGGTTGATGTCCAGACTAAATTGTAAAAAAATCAAAATAATGGATTCAATAATCAAAGCATACGTTTATACATGTGTAAACATATATATAAATAAATGTTAAATAAAAAGAAAAAAAATGATAACAAATTAATATATTTTATATCTTGTATAAAATATGGTATTTTAACTATAATTGTACACTTAATTTATACCTTATTTTTCATAAAAAACCATTTGTCTTCATAATTTTGTAATAACCAAACAATTAAAAATGATTCTAAGCATCGAACCACTTTTAATTAATATTTAAATATATTTAAGATTTATGTTGTTAAATATACAAAATACCTTGATTTTAAAACATTTTATTGAAATAAAAAAAGAAACCCTACTTAGAGAATTTTTGTCACATGGCTTTTTTACTTTTTGCAATTGTTTTTCTTGAAATGGTTGTTGTATAACTTATTTCCTAGCAATTTCTATTGCTGTTTCATAAAAGTCTTAAATCACTATACTTTAATCTGTTTTATTGAAATGTTATCAATACAAAATTAAACAAAGAATTAGATATACTAAGTTTTTGTTTGGAAAAGTGAACTTTTGATATAGTATTTAGTTAATAGAATTTCAAGTACTATAAATAACTTTCAGTTGTTATTAATCATAATTAACTTCTTAGAAGTATAAGCAAAAGTAGAATTTTATATGATAAAATTATATCCATGATAACAGGTTAATGGTTAATAATCATAAATTGATATAGTTTTAATTTCTTGTGTTTGTATATGTAGCATATTATATAGTATAAATGAGCATTTTAAAATATTTTTTCGGTAGTTTTATTGTACATTTTAATGTAATAAATTTAAACTTTAAAGTATTTTAGAACAGCGGTTCTCAATCTTTTTGATTTCACAACCCCCTATATAATATCACCAAGATGTCTAATGACCCTTTTATAATGTAAGCATTAAAAATTTTTACAAAAAAAGGTATATTATGTACATTTGAATATTTTTTTAATTTAATTATTCTTTTGCTGTTGTTGATTTGAAATAATTTTGTCAATCCTTGAATAAACAGATTTAGTTAGACTTATTCTTATTGTTGGCTATATATCCAGCCGATTTTTCAATTTAGTTTTAATTGTAGTCATTTTAGAAAATCCTACTTTACATAAGTATGTCGTTGAAAAAGGAATTAACTTTTTTAAAGCTTCTTTTGCTGATGCAGAATATTCATTTTGAATTTTGATCTATAATTTACTTATGTTTTTATTGCTATTAAAAATGTGTTCCAACCCTTTGTCTAAGTACAATTCAATTCATTTTTCTTCATTAAATGATGATTGATGATAATTTATTTTTTTCAGATTTAATAAATGGATTAATAACCCATAAATTGTTTGAACAAATGTATTAGATCAAAATATTTAGGAAATTTTTCTTTTAATTTTAATAAATGAGTTACAATGATATTTTGCATTCTATTTATTTAATTTTCATTTATTATATTTTCTTCCATATATCGAAAAAAAATGGAAACATCAAACTTAAGGTTTTGTACTCTTTTCCCAAAGTTCGATTTTGTTAAGAAATGCTTCTATTTTATTTGATGTAAAAATATTAGTATATGGCCTCAGTAAACTCAAATTTAGGCGTTGAGAATAGAAAATATATCTGAAAGATCAGCAAGATTTGCTAACCATAAATTATTTTCAAAATAATCAGGGTAATTTTTTATCTTTCAAAAATATTTTCACTTTGGTTTTAAGGTCAAATAAAGGAGTTAAGACTTTTCCTCATGATAACCATCTGAAATGTGTATGTAATAGCAAACTAGTGTAATCTTAACCCATTTCATCACATATGACTTTAAAAATACTCGTATTTATTGCACTAGATCGAATAAAGTTTATAATTTTAATGCATATATTTGAAACATTAAATCAATTTTCACCCATATATTTAGCGACCAATTGCTCCTGGCGAATGAAAAAATAAATTGAAAATATATCCTTATATAACATATAAAGCTATGGCCACTTGTTACACAGTTTATTTTACTCAGTAGTATAGCTTTTATTTCACATTTTATAGTGTTCTTTTATGCACTCATTCATCCACATTATGCTATTTAAAAAGTACCTACTAAACTAGGTTATTATTTCCAAAGTATTAATTGATTTAAAAATATATTTTGAAAATAACGATTAGGCTTTAATAATATACTAGTGTAGTAGGTATAATATATTATTGTAGTGATTTGACAGATATTTAAAAAACAAAAAAAAATATATCAGTTTGTTCTTTTTTATCACTTATTTTAGTTAATGATGTTTAGATTTTTAACAACCTATTCATTCACTTAATTATTTCTTATCATAAAAAACATCTTAACTACTTATTTATTTATTTTCTCAAATCTGTTTAGAGTAAATATAATTTTATAAATATTATTTTTAAGAATTAAAAAAAAACCTTTTTTTATATATTTTATTTTAGATTTCAGATGCTGAGATAGCTATAAATAAAATGAAGAATGGCTATTTAAATGGTTTAAATTGTTTTGGTGATTATGCATCATTTGACTGTGAACAAAAATTTTCTGAAACCTTCAATAAGCAAAAACGTAAAAACTATTTATCAACAGATCTGGATAATGTTCATTGTCAATATCTATCAATATCTGATGAAAAAAAGTAAGTGAAATTGTAACAAAATACTTATCAAGATTTCTCTGAAAATGTTTTGCTAAATATTCTATATCTGTTTTTCATTTCCTGCTTAACTTATCTGTAAGTTTTCACATGTATCATGTGAGAACTTGTCTTCATTAGTTGTTTTTCTGTCAGGTTCTTCTATATCACTATTTTTATTATTGATCCTCGATATATCCACCAATATCGTTATTAATTTTATTTTAACAGTATTTGCTAAAAATAAATTAAGTATTACAACAAATTAAATTATAAAATTCTATGACATTCAATTTGTATTCAATGTTTTCAAAAATGTACGATGCTATAATGGTAATGTGATGTGTTTATGAATAAATCTAATTAATATCAGTATAAGCAATGAAAGGTGCAAAAAAAAAAAAAAAATTATAATTGTCAGAAATCTCTATACAAATTAAAAAGTTGCCAATTTTTTGTTCTAATATTGTGTTTAATTCCACATACTGGTCAATGTGGTTAAGTTAGATTTGGCATTAAACTGCCTAAACTTATTTTTATTCATTAAATGATAATTAATAGACTACAAATAATACTTAAATATATTATTAGTTTAATAGAAATGCTATGTATTTATATTTAGTAGCTAGTCTAATCTTCATTTTCAATAATTTGCTATGCATCATAAAAGATTTGTTCTAGCTAAAGTTTTCAAATTATGATTCAGCCATTTAATAAAAATATTATTATTTTTTTAAATATTTTAAAAGGCTTTAAACCTGAGTTAAATGTATTATCAATTCATAGATATTAAGCATACATACATCCTAAATAACCATTCATTTTTTTTTTCATATAATATCAGACTTATGATAAACAACTATAATTATTATACTGTAATTTTTATTTATATAAACTTGATTATTAAAAGTATTTTTAATTTAAATTTTAAATATTTATTCCTTACTAATCATAAAAGTTATATCATATATTTTTAATAAATAAAGTTTCAATAACAAAAACAGAAAAATTTGATTTATCTCTCTTATTATATTTGATTTTTTTAAACTGCATTATTTTACCTTTGTAGTATAGTGTTCAAAAAATTGTATTACTTAATACATGCAATAAATATTTATTTCTAAATAGTTAAGTTTTTATAACAACTGTTTATTTAATTATGTAATTATACATAATAGAACAAATTTAAAATCTAAATCTTATTTAAATTATTATTATTTATTGATTTGCATCTAAGAGACATTAAAACCTTTCAAGTACGTTAAGACAGACAGCATATTAGTTTTAATGTAATTTAAATGGTGTCTTTCTTACAGCTCGTCAGCAGCCAATTATGTTGGGGTAGATAGTTCCTATATTCTTCCCACATGTAAGGAACATAAATCGCCAATTACCTGTGTTTGGATTAATGGAATTGCAGATTCAGTCACTAATGAATATCTGGAATCTTATTTTAGTCAATTTGGACCTATTAAAAAATGTTTAATTGACCAATGGAACCGATGTGCTTTATTGTGTTTCCAACAGGCAAGTTTTAATATTGATTATAAAGTATTTTTATTGATTTACATAACACCCATCATTATATTATACTAATCAACATATAAAAAGTTGATAACTAGATCTACCATAATATAAGACAATTGATAGGTAGTATCTTTATAATGAGAAATGCCTTTTTGTTACTTAATATTAATTACTGTATCCATTGAACAAATAATTAGTTATTCTGTTATATCATCTCAATAGTGTAAATATTATGAAAAATATACTTCACCAATTAATTTAGAATACACTTGTTTGAAAAACGTTAAAATATAAATATATTATTAACTAGATTGTAAACAACAATATATAATAATATTACTTTTGAAAGACTGAAAATGAATATAAATTTACTTTAAACTATTTATATTTTTATTATTAGAGTGCAGCTAAACCATAAAAAAAATAATATTTATTCTTATTTAATTCTTAAATTAAAAATATTTTAAAAATAGAATATAAAATTATATATTATAATATATTTATAACCTGAGAAAACTATACTAATTGATGTGAAGATTTGAATATTATCTCATCTTGAGTCCCTATCTTAATGGGTATTCCCTGGTGGTCATTTAGGACGATACAAGTTATGTTCTAACGATATATAATATGATGTTCTTTATAATTTTGATTAATGGAATTGGATGCTATATCATCTCATTCCTAAACCTTGTAAGCACTTCTAATTATGAGTATAGCTGCATTTTTTAGTTAATGTTAGTGTGTTATTATTATACTTATGTAAAATAATTTAATAATTGTACAATATTATATTGTATTATACAGTATTGTACCTATACAGTACAACTTATTTTGTTATTATTGTATTATTGAAATAACATGCCCTTGCAATGATATGTAGCAGCACAAGCTTACGCTATAGTTATATATTTATTGTTCATAATATCAGAGCTCGTTGCAAATTTATATTTTTATTGACTAAATCAAGTATAACATATTAATCTATGTTGAATTTAATCCTATAAAAATAGAACATAAAAACTAGTAAATTAATTTTTATTGTTATCAGATATATCATCTATTGAGTATAAAATATTTTAAGTATAATTGCATAATTATTTGTGTGTAAATTTAATGAATAATAAAATATTTTATTTTCATTCTTATTAAAATCATATAAACATTAAATTGTTTGAAATAATTAAAACATATATATATATATAGTTAAGTAAATATGTTTCTTATCTTGATAAATATATTTTAGGTTTATCTCAAAATATCCTAATTTTATACAAACGCATAATACTTGTTTGTATATTATAATTCATCGCATGCTATTTTAAATAATTTCTCATCAACATATATTCTAATCATTAAGTTAAAAAATGTTATTTTAAGTATAAAAAAATTAAAATTTATTTATTTGAAGTATTATTTTTTATTCAAATTGTATGAATTAGTTTTTAAAACTTCATGTTGTGTTTTGGGTTGAATTTTTAAAGTTTTAATATTACTTTATAATATAATATTATGATTTATTAATTAGAATAAATTGATATATCTACTGAATTTTTTGTATTAGACGTAGTAGGTTATATTGTAATACTTTTTATGTTTTTTTTATTTACCTTGAATGATATCAGACATTAACTCTAATTTTATTTGTGAATGCAATAATTATAAAGTCTATCATTAAAAAAAATATTTTTTTTTTAACCAATATTTCATAAAAAAATTGTTAAATTTAATTATGGTGATTATCCCAGTCATAATCTACAAAATCTCTACATAATGTTTTAGTTTCTTTTTAAAATGATTTTTCATATATTTATATAATTTAATTTAATTCTTCTTCTTCTATATTTGTTTAACTATGTTTAATCTGGCGTTTGATATTAATAAACCAACTTTAATATTAATAAATTACTCTCTGCTTATTTATGATGGTTATGAATTAGTTTATTACGATAGTTATGACTGTTAAAACATAACTCAAGATTAATTAGCAATGATTAATATTTATTATTTATTTTACAGGAATCACACGCACAGACGGCAGTTTATGTAATGAATGGTAGTTTTATAAAAGGTCAATCAGTTTATGTTCATTTATCGTCTATAATGTGTCAAGCTTGCGAAGAATCTAATATAAATAACAATGATTTAACTATTGTACAACCAGGTTATGCTGCTCAGTCACTATCTTCCAGTACACATGTGGTTCCTTATCAGAATTTCAAAGCTACATTACCTTCTTGTAGTTACAATATTAATGACGAAACTTATCCGACAAACATCAGTGATCCATATAATAATTCAATTAATGTTAATAATGCTCAGTACATATCGCAGCATAAAGATTTCAACACCTCTTATATCAATATTTCTAATGATTCTTCAAACACAAATTCAGTCAACAACTGTTCTATTTCAATAGCAAATAACCAGCATCTACCAGAGATTTCCAAATCTCCGACAAAATATGCTAATTCTGTAATATCACTGCCGCTCCCTAAATTTTCTAAAAATATTACCAGCCCATCTTTAAAATATTCACTTTCATCTAACTCTGGGGTTAATCAACCTTCATATATGTACAATTTATGTCATGATGAAGAAATGAACTGTGGCTTAGATAAAACTGATAAACAGAACCAAAAGTATGACCAAAACAGTAATCATCCACAAAAACTTAATTTCAAGATTTTAGAATCAGCCAATTCTATAGAATCAGTTGTTGAAAGAAATGCGTTTATTGAAGGAACTAAAAGGCTAAAAAATGTTTCTAACAAATATACTCTCAACAAATCAAGTACAACATTTCAAAACCAAAAAGTATGTTTATCATTAAAAAATACAATTTCAACTAGTGGTTCATCAAAATCTTATCTAAAACCTTCTACGGCTGTTAATAAAACTCAATATTATCTTCCAAATGATACTCAGCCAATAATAATTCCACAAAATAGTAAGGCACAACTAATAGACACTCAATTTTTGCCTTTTGATCCTATGATGTTAATCAATTCAAAACGTTCTTCAACTAGCCACACAATGATATCCGATTCAAACGCATTGTTTTTGGAGAAACAAAATATTTGTACCATAAATGATAGCATGCACACAAATGGTGCATTAAATAATCTTTTTACGAACCCTATAAAGGATTATCCTGAAGATAAAGATAGGAATGAGGAATACTTTAAAATTGTTGGTAAAATTCGGCATGAGTATACCAAGCAATGGGTGAACACTGGATGTCACTGGTTAACTAATAAATCAAAGAATGATTGTGTTGAAAAATTTGATTGTCTAGAACTAAGTGATACTAAAATAAAAGATAACAAAGGAAAGTTTGAAGTTGAACAAATAAATAAACAAAATGTTTTGGATGGATTTATGGCAGAAAGTTCTACTAAACCTGTTGATCCAATTTCCATTAAAGTAAAAAAATCAACTAATATTGATACAGATATGATGGATCACAGAGTTCATGAAAAGAGTATTGCTAAAGTTGTATTATCTTTAAATAAAAATAAACAAAGTAAGAATTCATCTACTGAAACCAAAAATAAAATAAAAACTACAAATTTCAACAATTCTGCAAGCAATACTTCAAATAATGTAAATAATATTAAAAATAAATGGAAGAAATCTGTTCATTGCCATCATACAACTAATAAATATAAAGACCATAAATATAAAAGTATTTCCAGTATTAGATCAAGAAGATATAAAAGCTACAATATCAAACCAAATAAAACCCAAAGAGATGATGTTGAAAAAACAAATTTTAATGAATACAAAAACAAACATATAAATATTAATAAAAGTGAACAACATACATGGAATAGTAATAAGAACTATTACTCAACAAAGAGTTCATTAAAAAGAAGCATTAGCAATACTAATGTAAATCATTACAATTCTAAACGATATAAAACAGATAATAAGACTTATAAAAACAATTGCACTAAAATTTTAGAAAGTCATTCTCCAAAATCAAGAGGAAATATTCATAATACATGGATGCCAGAGAAGAAAAATATGAATAGTAAAATAAACAAAACTCCAAATGAATCAAAAGTGACAATATACAAAAAAATGAAAACCAGATATACTAATAACATGAAAAAAAAAAGGGAATGGAAATTGCAAGAAAAATATTCTTACAGAAAGAAAAGATTTGAATCTTAAGATTTAGACTAATTAATAGTGGCATACAAACCTTATAACTAGTTATGGCATCACAGTTATTATTTATGTCATAATAATCTAAAACTGGCTTTTTATGTATCAGAACATTAGCAAGTAAACAAAGTTCTATGATTTACGTAGTATTGTACAGTATTTATGCAGTAAGTATTAGAATAATTTTTATGAGTAATTTAGTTATAATAATATTAAAGTTTAAGCTCTGATTATTTTGAGGCTCCCGTACATCATAATACTACTAAATAAGATAAAACTATACTTCTATGAATACACTTATATTAATTTGATTTATTGAATATTATTGTTAATTAACCAATGAATTTGAATTATTATTTAACAACTATTAAAGTTAGCCATATTATATTCAATATAATACTATCATTTTTGTTTGTATTCATATAATTGTTTTTAATACATAAGTAACACAAAAATTATTTGTTATGTATGAAATTAAAATATTTAGTTAGTATTTCCTACTAGTTAACACTTATAATGGTTAAATGTGGTTTAATATTTTATATTTAATAATTGATGTAAGTAGTAATTAATAAGAATTTAAATAAATATTTTAGTTTTTATGTTCCATTTTAAATGTACTAGACTCAATGTGTTAGATATGTGTATTAAATTTATTTTATATTTAAAATGTTACAACTTAATTTAACAAGTATTTATATTCTATTCTTAAGATTTCACTATTTAAAAATGTAATAAATAATATTATTTTCTTTTCTAATGTACGATGTTTTGTTTTAATTTATATTAGTGTTCAAATACATCATTGCTGTTTACAATTTATAGCAGCTGTATATACACGAGTGGAGTTTAACTTAATCAATTATACATATAAGCATATTATATATATTTTTTTAAATTTATTTTATTGTAAGATTCAATATTATTATATTGTAAGAGGTTGCAACACACACAACATCCTTTTTAATCTACATTAAACATTTCCTTGCAGTGCTAGGATGTACAAATAAATTATAAAATAAAAAATAAAAGAAGTACCTATAAAAATTGTACAAATATTACATATTTTAAAATATCTAGAAATTCAAAAACAAATCTAATTTCTAAAATCCTTTACTTTCATTTAACTAATTTATAATGGAAAAAATATTACAATTATGTATATAAATTTTAGATTCAAAGAGCGTTACTAAATGTATTGATTTTACAATGATGTGTGTTTTTATTTATTTTAAATTGTCAACTTAAATATATTTTTTAGTAGTAAAATGAATAATAAAAATAAATATAAATAAATAAATAAATAGTAATAATAATAATAATAAAAAAAATAATTAGTATTTAAGAGGTCAAAAGTAAAAAAGTTCCTAGTACTTTTCTTAGTTGAAAAAATTAACAAAACACACACATAAATGATAAAATCAGGAATTTTTACAATTGTAGAGTTTATAGAATAACCATAGGTACTAAGAATTTTTGCTAAATTTTTATTCAATATTTTTTTATAAACGATATAAAAAACATTTAAGATTTTTACATTATTGAAAGTAAAAATTTGAAAACAACAAAAAAAAAATCATAGTTGATTTATTAAGATTTTTTTAATGTTTCACCATATTTTATGGTATTATTGAAAAAAAAATTCTAATTTTATACAATTATTATATTTTGTTATAAGTAATTCCTCAATGTGACAAAAATGTTTTTATGAAAAATTAAACACAATATTTATTATGTTTAGTAAAATGATTATTAACATAAAATTATATAATTGTAAACAATTAAAAAATAACTGTATACAATTAACGTCTGTGGCTAGAAAAATAAGAACGTAAAAATGTAATCATTGGCTTGGTGATGGTAGATCACTGGTAGAAAAGAGTGGTGCTAGAAGGCTACTATTTTACAAAAAGAAAAAGTCGTTGAATGTAAACATGACTTATTGCAAAGTATAAATTCAAATTAAGTAAGTTTTAAATGCTAAATAGACAAACTATTATTGTAATATATTTCATGATTTCATAAATATTCCCTATCAAAACTTTTTTCCATAGGTTCAGGTGTACCCTAGAGTTTTCACTTAAAACGTTTATTGTTTAATTAACAAATAAACGATACACTGTTTGATTTTAATTTCTTAGATAATGTGTTTTACTAGCTTATGGTACTAAATTTAAATCAATTATTAAATAACAAGATGACAATTAATTTTCAATCAAAATTAGATTAGTTTACTTTATAGTATCACTCAAAATTTGATTGTCCGCATTAATTTTAGACAATATTTATATTCAATTATGTGCAGTTAGACGTAAATTATCTTAAGTATTATTTATGATCTAGGTATCTTAATAAAGTGTTTAAAGGGCTTGCCTTGCAAAATTAAAACTTTATGCAATTGTTTGAGAAAATTAATTGATTGTTATAAATTAAAAATCCCACGTGAATGTCAAAATTTACAACTTTAATGATCTATTTAAAATGATTTATTTTTAATGTTTTATTATTTTCACCTCATAAGTGCTATTTGATATATTAAAATAATTTATTTATGGTACCTAATGAAATATATTTTTAAATAGGTATTTAGGTATTAATAACACGTTCTGTATTCTTAATAATTTGTCAAAATGTCATTTGTTTATTGAATTTTTGAAGTAAAGTAGGTATTGTTACAAGTTCTGATATCCTAATCAAGATGCTGCGACTTGGCTACACATTTCAGAATATAATGAGAAAAAGTAAAGTACAACAACACTATATATAGATAATTATGGGTAGATCTAGTATGTTCTGGTACATCAATTATTTAAGTAAGCATTATACTCTCATGGACTATAAAACGCATTTGATAAAGGAATTATTACAACACGTAGGTACAAGAAACTACACAGTAAAATGTAACAACGCCACTATGTTACAATATATATGCTTAATAATTAAATATAATAAATAAAAATATTTAAACATACCACTGACATCCATTTTCTTATTGATTTCCTCCAACAGTTTGTGTTTGTCTTGAACTGTCCAATTACTGCGGTCTTTATGCTTATAGTCGAAAATTGATAGCCTTTTTTTCTATTAAACTTAGTAAAATTGCACCATCACAACTCACAAGCCATTATAATAATATGATAACACAATTATACTATTGCTTAATTACAATATAAACGTACAAAAATAGAAAAAGAATATTCGTTGTCTAATTATGACTAAAGAAAAATGGGTGCTAGTGTAGCATGGGATCTACCAGCTTGTTTTTAGAAATATAAAATATAAAAATTATCCACATAAAATAAGTTTCGTTTTAGACAATTTAGTCGTTAATTATGTATGTCGCCCGCGTATCTTCTAAAAATGCAATGAACAAATCTGGTTCTTTACCGCCACATCTTCCAGCAATACTGATCCAAATGTGACTGAAGCATATTGTTCACACCTTTTAAAAGTTGGTGTTCTCGTAAGAATACAGTGTACGCTTGCTCTGAACTTGCAACATGAATATAAAAATATTTGAGAAACATGACGGAACTATCTAACAAAAACAAAAAAAATGACGGAAATAGACGAAAATAATGACGGACAAGGACTATGTGCGTCGTCGAAATTGGAAAGCACACTAAATTATTATCGACTATCGGAGACGAAATATAACGTTAACGTCGTTAACGATAAAGAACTGGAGTAGATAATGGGTAGATCACAGGTAGAGCACACGTAAGCGGTAGATCGCACGCTACACTAGCACCGAAAAATGTAAACACTTCAAATAGTATTATTCATTTAGTCATAATTGATGGTGTTTAAAGCATAAATATTTTCGTTTGATTGTACGTTTGCAGCGTAATTCCCTATGTTTTATTTTTAACAAAACTATGTTAAGCTGACTGACACTGTTTAAAGCAGTTTGTTCTTTTGGTGTGCGGAGGACCTTATAGATAGCTTAAAAATGAAAGACATCAGACAATAGATCTATCACTAAACTTAATCTTAATGGTAAAAACATCATCTGTGTTTGTAATGTTCGTTTTTTACAATATTTAAATTTTTTAGCAAGTTTGCGTGTTCGAAATAGTAAAATTAAATATTGTCATAACTTGCATGAAAACTAAATTATCGTAAAAAAAAAAGCACGGAAATTGTTTTTATTATTAAATTTTATAATAGGTTAATTCTTTGCAACATTAAATTTAGTTAAACTAAACGTGAACTGCTTAGCATAAATTTGCCATATTCCGCGTTTGTAATACGGACATCTGTTTTCAAACAATTTTTTTTTTATATAAAGAATGCGTCTTAATTACATATAAATTTTGTTACAAAAAATTTGATTCGTTTAAAGGTTTTATTTCATTACAATAGACAATAGTATAATACCTATATCATATTGATTCTTATTTTCCGAAATAAATCATTTTTAGGTTTCTAACGTTCAATTGTATGTAGATAATAAACATATCAGTACATGGTACATCACATATGACTATATGAGACTAACACATGAATACAGACAATTTATATGCTATTAATTGTAACAAGACCTTCTTTTGCATTTTCAAAACATAAGTTCCGGCTTAACGCATCTTTGTATAAAATCTGCCAATTGTTTTGTACATCTTTGAAATTGTTCAATTGATAATTTGGCACCTGTAAAATACATTTAAGAGATTTAAGTTATGAGAAATTCTAGTTGTAAAATGTATTTGTAATATTTTTACAGTTATTTTATGTCGCTTCATGAAATGGAATCGATTATGTATTTCGTGAAATGTGGAATCAGCACGAAACACCGTTTGTCTAATTTTTTTAACAGCCTTTTCCACAATGTCGAGTCCTTGGCAATTTCGAAAATGATTATTTAACTGTTTTTTTAATACCTGTAACATTACAAATTAATAATTGATTTGCCTGTATAATTTTTTCAGTGAAAAAAAAATTATCTATTGTATATTTGGATAGGTTGAATGTTATAATATATCAAATAATATTAAAATCGAATTTCGTTATTTCAAATAAACAAAGAATATTTTTTTACAAACAGCATTATTACAAATTTAGGAAACATTACGTAATACGTATGTATACTATACCTATATACTACGCAAAAGCTGTGTTAAGATAAATTACGTTCTAGGAAAATTATAATATTCTTGATGTTCTTATAACCATATTCAACATTTTATTTGATAATATGATTTATAGTGAAGTTAAAATATACATTAATTTTCATTTTATGCATATAAATTTACAAATAACTCCTTTCTCGGGGCAAATATGAAACCTGCATTATTCATTTCACATTTTTATACTTTATATTATCAATAAGTATTAAGCAATGAATCTTATTAAAAACTTATTAAATAGGTAATATATTTTTTTTAGCTGTAGAAATAATTTATAAATAATTTAATTACCTTGATAACGATGACCATAAATAATTTTAGTATAAAAAAAACTAGCTTATATTAGAATATAGAATAGAAAATAATATTTTTGTAGGTGATATGAATATTTGGGAAAGCTATGTAAGAAAAATATTTTTCAAATTTAATGATACCTTTACCAAATAAATCTACTTCTAAATTTTTAATACAATTTTTCATGCAGGTCAATTGATTAAGTATTTCTTGTATAAACAAAAAGTCCAAATTTGTTAGGTACATAAACATAACACACAGATTTCTGTATATTTCAAATTTGTTTTATTTAATTGAGAAATAACGTTCATTATCAGAATATATTGTATAATATGCAATATGCTTTGTTTATAAGAAAATACAAATTCATTAACACCTTTAAAAATACTATTTTTACGTTTAATTCTAATTTTATCCCAAGAAAATTTATTTCCTTAACTTATTACTTCAGCTTTATAAATACTAAAAATAAAAATATATATGCTTTTAAATATTTTATGTAATTTTTTTTAATCGATTTTGAATAAAATATAATGACATAATAATCATAACATATACGAATTACGGAAATTACACATATCAAATCAATATCAGTTAAAGAATTTTTATGTTTCGTTGAATGTTTTTGAGATAAACGTCCAAATAATATTAAAAAAAAAACACAAATTTTCAAATGATCTTTTTTTTATCGTTAATTAATTCTGTGCTCCTAAAAATAAGGACACCGCTCCTTTACCTCCTTCTTATCATGGGGCTCTACATGACTGTGTGAACCTATCTATGTATTATATAAAATCCAAATACCACCTAGTTAATTATATAACTATAGAGATACAGTCTTCAATCACTTGACACTTACCACCATATTTTGTGAAAACTTTGCCATAATATCGTCGCTTTCAAGTATCAATTGATTCGCGTAAACTGAATGCCAAAAATCACATCGTTCCCGTAACACAACGATATATTCGGAAATGTCGATTCGAATACAGCCATAGTCTATGTACAACTCGCGTTCAACACGGGTCGACAGCGTGAAGAAATATTTTAACTTCTCTCCATAATCGGCCAGTGTAGGATTTGTCTCGGTGAACTGATCAATTATCAATTTAATTCGTTTTTCACTCATAAAACCGAATCCTGCAAATCTGGAACACATTATTTAAATTTATGGTAATTTCGTAAACATGTTACACGTTAAAATTTGTTGATTATTGTACGTATACGAGTAAATTCATACATTTGTCATGTATAATACAGTTTTCATTTTTCCATAACGCTATGCATTAAAGATGAAATTTGGTGATAGTTTAGACATTTAAGAAAGAAAAAACTTAATATACATTATATATAATATATATGAATCTAGAATATATTATAAATAAATAACTTAATTAATATTTTAAGCTATTCTTTATTTTTGATCCATTCAAAAATATATCACTTTTACCACTACATACACTCACACACACTCACACACACATACACTATAATATTAACGAAATAATACTTCTGTACTGCTATTTTCAGTCGGTTGATAAGTATTTCAATTGTATTATAACATTCTTTTTTCATGTCGTATACATCCTCGCATTTCTCCACATGAGTGTAGTATGTGTAAGGTAGATGCGATTCATCAGTCCCCATGCTATTGATGAATGGACACAAAACATTAGTGGTTCTTAGCCATCTGGGTACGGATTTCAATCGATTAAACATATCGTCCATGGCCTTGGTCAACGTGGCATATATGGTGTTGATATTAGGAATAAAAGTAAATTTATCATCAATTAGCTGCCCGTAAATCACGAAGGCCACGCGATCGCTGTCTAATATATTTTTGTACGCTTTACAATTATTCCTGACCATTCTAAAAATTAGACAGATTGAGTTGGAACATAGGAACCTATAACCACTTTAAACATGTTTCTATTTCCCTAGACTCACGCGATAAAAGCATCGTACAGTGCTTTCTCATATTTTTCATACAATAAACGCATGTGCTCGTGGCCATCTATTTCTAAATCATAACAAGTTTTTTCGATCAAATTTAGTGCTTTAGATATGTAGTTCATCGAACATGTTATAATCGACATGTTTTTATCTCCTTGTGTTATGAATTGTTCAAATAATACCTGTGATTATTAATAGAAATTGAATCTACAGTTATTTATATTGAACATTTATAAAATTTCTTAGACATTCAAATACGAACAAAAATATCTTGAACGTAATTTGGATCCATAACAAAAAATTTTAGATTTTCAATTAATTCGAGTTTCTCGGATATGATTGTTTGAAACTGAATAACACAAATCTATGTGATTAAAAGGTATTATATTTAATATTTTTAAAATCATGTTACTAATTCAATTTCCTTATAGATTGTATTGAATATATTTAGAGAGCGCAAACAATGTTTCATAAATTTCGGTAGCTGAAATGATAAATAAGTATATCTCTTTTCAAAACCGGGACGCATAACCAGTTTTACTTTAGAAAAATGACGTTCCATTGCCAAAGCCTAAATTTATTGTAAACAAATAAATATACACGTATAAATGTATAATGTATAAAAATTAGTGTTTTGACGGTAGATATAAATGAACGGTATCCAAATTAAGTAATATATTATGTATATACTAAATATTTATTTTAAATCAATAAATTGTCTACTTAGAACGGTTTATTAGATTGCAAATAAGCCATACTAACAATTGGAGCATCCATTCTGCCCACTATTTCATTGTAAACTTCCAACAACGAGTCAAGCATCTTTATATTAAGTATTATCCGTTGTTGTTTTTCTATTAAGTTCATAATAATAATTGGTAAATCATGACCTAAAAGATGAAGATGTAATGCTGTGTCTATGAAACAAAATAATTCTTTCTGAAAATCATTCAAGTAGTTCGGTTATGATTTAGACGAGTTATGATTTTAATATACGTACGTCGAACGTTGACATGAGTTTATTTCCACGCAAAGTCCATAAAGCGCATTCCATTAGACGCCCTTCAATTTTAAGGGCGTTGTCCAACCATTTATCGACTACGTTACTTTCATATTTTAAGATGTTTTGGCAGAATTTTCCATATATTGATAATGTCTAACAATAAAAATTATTTGTTGAATAATTTTTAATTTTCAATTAAGACATACTTTGGTTTTCTGAATCTGAGGAAATTTTGCTGTCGATTCAACGATACGAGCGGTTCTTTTTGCCCTTAGAAAAAGGTCTTGCACTAAAATAATTTTACCTGCCACTGGAGGCACACCAAAGACTAATCTAGGAGATTCTTTTAACGACTGAAGTGATTTAAACGATATTAATGACTATCATATTTTAATGTCCAATAATATTATCATAATAACTTACCATGAATTGTGTATTATAGTGATTAATTTCTACAACGAACTTTTCTAAAATTATCACGTACTTTGGACGTAGTTTCTTTATTAGTGTGTGTCGAATCATCATGTTCTCGAAAAATTGTAATAATTTAACATCGTTAATTGCACTGTTTGAAATTTTCATCGATTGGCTTATTTTGTTATAGACGTTAGTTTCAAAATGGTGAAGAAATTGGTCCATTATTTTTATCCAAATTTCTTCTCTATTACTATCATACACATTGATTTCCAAATCAAAAAATATACGAGTGATATAATTTTTGATAAATATTTGGCTTTCTGAACTATTTTTAAAAATATGACTAACTTCAGGCCTCATTAATATCAGTTCAATAATCTGTACACATTTAAAGTAATATTTATCAGGTAACTAAAATAATTTGGTTTTTATTTCGATTAGACACCTCTCATCAATCGATAAATTTATTTATTCAATTTACCTTCATTATTTTGTCTAAATCACGTACAATTAAACGAACGAAATGTAATCGATGGAAGAGTATGTCCTCGTCAAACTCCCAAGCCCATCGTCGGAAATAAATGGTGGATATCACCTCAATATCCTTTTTACATTTTATATATGTCGCTTCCCATCGGTCTAAAATGTATAAGCCACTTTTGACCAAGTCCACAGCTTTAGATGTTTTGTATCTGTATCAATAATGATTTGTACATGTTTGTAGGAATTAATCAAATCTATTACACAACTATCTACGTAACTATATTAGCATATTAATTACGCAGTAGAAACCAATAAAGTATTACAGTCAATTAATACAGCGTACCGATTTCTAGTATGTGACACTGTCATAGTACCTATTGATAATTAACGCCAAACTAACGCGAAAAATAAATCTACTGGCATTTATTTTACACCTATGATAAAAAATGTTATCAATTTTTCATATTATATTATTTATTTATATCTATACTATAGAAAAAAACGTAATACATTAAAAAAAAAATGAATTTTAAGCATAGAAACACAGTAATAAAATGTAAACAAGTTGATACCGCTTTGTAGTATAGGTATTTTAAGTATCGAGTCACTGTAATTTTTCGATATAGCTATTAAAGATATTATTTTACTTTTAGTATTAAGATACGAGTGGAAGTGGATTGATTTAATTTTTTCCTAGAACTTGCGTTTTTACATAATTAGTAGGGTTCAGATTTGAAGGCAATATAATCAACAACATAAAAGAAACATTTAATTAATATAAAAAAACAATTATTTTCTCTTGATATTTTAACGCACAAATTTAACAGTATAAAATTAATCCATCGGATGAAAAATATTTTCACTGAATTCTTTAACATATACGTTTTCAATTTTGAATTTTCACTTAGTTTAACTTTCGACATATTGAAAAATAGAATTAAATAAACGTGGGAAAATTATTAAAGGACACTCATTTAGGTCGACGAATAATTGATTTAGGCAAAAACTAAATTTATGTAAAATTCCTAATTTTTCCTTAATTTTTTATATCTTTTTCCAGATAATTTTGAAAAATACTGGTCATTTTTTTATTTTTACTAAAGTAAAAATTTAGAATTTGTTTTTAAAGTTAAATCTAAATCTAATTTTTTATTTAAAACCACCGTTTTGTTCAGTTGAAAATTGAATCATTTTTCGATTACTTATTGTACATTCACATACACACACACACATACATATATATTTGTAAAATTAATACATTCATCACTTTGCTCAGAATCTAATACAATTTAATTGATAAAATATAATAATAATAATTGATTATTTATATTTACTACTAATGTCGATTCCTAATTAAATTTGTTTGCTATCAAAATAGAAATAAATAGAAAGTAGAAATTTTAATGTATTTATATTTTATATGGAATATCTATAATATAATATTACAGTATAATATTCACTTATTGTACTTATCAATCAATAATAGAAAATATTTTATGATGTAATTTAATTTGTAGACCTCTTTTAGAACAGTTAATACTTATTATAGTAGAGCAGAACTGCAGTGTATTTATACATATACTATTATGCTTTCCCAAATTGTATCAATTATAATTACTGGAATATCTCGGGTATACTCAAAGTTACAGAAACTCTATCAGCAACCGAATTTGAAATTGACTCTAGTAGACGTTCCATGTGTTTTTTCCGACTAAATAAACTTGATGTCAACCACATTAGATTTAAATGGTTGTATAGTGGTAAAAAGTTTTCCACGATAAATACAAACGGTGCGTTGATGATTGACTAAAAGAAAATTATTCAAAGGTATATAGTACAATAGTATTTTAAATGAAAATATATTTTGAGTAAGCATAATATTAGGCAAATGTAAGTACATCAATTCCATCGTAAATCAATTCCATAAAATACATCGTGTTTCTAACAGTAGTATCATACATTATTTGAAAGTCATTTTTTAATTCGTTAAATATCCTCAACGTATATAAAACAATTTGACTGTTGACAATTTGTTCTAAAATATTTATGCATTTTATCACTACTTTGTCGGTCAACAGTTGTTCCAGTATCGCTTTGAAATTATTATATCGTTTATCCCAAAAATTGTATTCATTGATTGCAGACGCGTATTGAATTTTTCCACCCTATAATAAAATATAAACTCTTTAACGTTTATCTAGTATATGAAATCAAAATAATTTGAAAATAAACCAACAAAAAAGTTTCATGCTTCGTAATTATAACAAATATATTACTGATATTTTAATTCGACTTAATTCAAAAAGTAAAAACAAAGCATTGGTGAACTCCTATACCATAATGTCTTCGATAAAATTAATTTCTTTCTGCAATGATTTCATCCACGAATTCATCAAACTTAATAACTGATCTATTTGCTTCGCATCTAAGTCTTTAACGTTTGTATTGTTTTCAATAAGCAACGATAATTCATCAGAAACAACCAGTTTGCTCGTTAAACTAAATAGTGTATCGTTAAAGCAATTTATAAGTACATTGGTTAATTTTGTGTAACAATATAAATACACATTTGTATAAATTGTATAAAACAAATACTTTAATTAAAAGTTTTTTAGATACACGGAGTAAAATATTTGTAGAATCACGTTTAGGTTAAGTAGGTAAATTGTTTCCAGTTTGACATTCAATTTGTGTCACCTAAGAGATTTTTTTTAGATTTTGGTTATTCCTAATACAATAAAGAATATAATGAAATAAAAAAAAAATAATAATTAATAAAATAGCATATAATTTTTTATGAATATTTATTAATTTCTACTAAATTAATTTGGTAATTATTAGAAACATGTTTATTATTTAAAACATTTAAGTGTGTATAGATAAAAAAAAAAATAGTATAAATCAAGTAAAGAGGCCCTGCTGTATAATAGATTTCGAATGTATCTCGTCAGCCGTTATATTAAGATCACTGATTTTAAATTTTCATTCAATAATAAAACATTGAAACTTTACGAAAAAATATTCTGAGAAGAGACGGTGTGCGATGTATTTGCAGTTTCTATTTTTAAAGATATTTTATGATATACTTTAATTACTATAAATAGGTAATTTTATTTCTTATGCCAATGATTAGATTGTGAACTTAAATTCATTTTTAACAAAGCCATCGCATATACCTATTATAATTATTAATTATTAAATATAAGGTATATCATTTAATATTGTAATTAAGTTATATATAATAAGTCAATATATACGTACATACCTTTCGAAAATAATGTGAACAGGATTGTGGTTTAAATAAATAAAATAAATATTTTAAAAATGTTTTTTTTTCTAAATTATGATCATCAAATTTGTCAAAAAGCTTAAAAGTATCAATTTAAATTTTGAAATTCAAAAAATATTAATTGAAAGCTTTAAAACTTATTGTTATTACGTATTAGTGTATTTTGTAAAGGTACTATTATTTTCATAACAATATATATAACATATATAACACTATATATTAATTCACTTATTCAAAACTATTGATTATTATAATAGAATATACCTTCCTTTAGTTACATTTCACGGGGAATTACAACTTTTCATTATATTATGTATAATGCTGCTATTTATTTAACACTATGGAATACATTATGAAATTATGACACATTTTAGAGTATTCTTATTACTATAACTTATTCACACAATTTTACGATATTGACTTCTAAGTTATTAATAGCTAGTAATATGATGTATAATAGATATACATGTGATTTTCTATTAAAAAAGTTTTCAACCTACATAATAATGTACCAATAAAATTATAATATACCTTTGTCCTTAGCAATAAAATATTCTTAAAAATATTTTCTAAATACCATTTTTGCTCAAAATCGTTTTTCGTACACAATTATTTTATCGTTGAATACAAATTTAACACATCCATTTAAATGAACTACCTATTTAATGTGAGGCATAAACACGGTATTTCTATAATGTACACTGTACAATAAAGTGACTCCGTCGATATTTGTAAAATATTATTACAAATGTATAAAGGTCGATAATCATTTAGGTTCTAAAATATGGTAAAACTCATCTAAACCGGGTGTCAAAAATTAAAAAATGACTGTTATTAAAAGAAGGATTTATAAACAGAGGTTTTATTATATTGTAGTGTCTTTACCTTTCAACTGAAGGTGACTTGTCGAAATGCATCATGTCGATATCGTTGGTAAAATGTTTTTTAAAAATTTTACTAAGTAGAATGCGTATAATGTAAGTCAAATGTTTTGGCTAATATAATTTTTTTTTCAATATATGTTGAAAATAAATATTGAAAAGTACACTAAGTAGATGTAAAATACCTACAATAATTATATTATTTTATTCGTCCTTATTTTATTTAATAATCAATATATTAATAGACACATAGTGATCTATTAAACCAGCAACACTTATTTGTATTTAGACCATTTTCATTATTTAAAAAACAAAATTTAGAGCTATGGCTCTAATTTGTATATCTATGGCATTAATAATAATATTTAATATTATCGAACAACGCGCGTATATATGTTAGCGGTAATGTATGTAATACGTTATTTTATTAAATAACTAGTTATTCTATAAAATTCCTAAATATGTTCGTTAATATATAAATTACACGGTTTTACTAGTTAATATATAAAATACCGATTGGGTTTTCGTTAATGTATGAAATTTATATCATTAGGTAGATATGACCGGGACTGGATTAGATAACATACAAAATTTGTTACCGTTGTTGTTATTAATAAAAATAATAAGATAAGATAGTATTGAACCACACCATTTGGAATAGACTAGACTTATTCGTGTGACAGTGTACTGCGAGTTTACTTACTAGTTAGTTTAATCATTTTTAGTGTTGTATAGTGTAATAACTAATAAGTGTGCTTTAAAATGAAAACCAAATTTGATACAATTATAAAAAATACAACAACAGAACGTAATAACAGCACGTTTTTGCTGAAAGAAAAATATGATTCCTTAATAAGTGAAGTGAAACGTATTAAAACAGGAAAAAAAGAATCGCCACGTGATTATTGGTTAGTACAACGGTATGATGTGATAGAAGTGCAAGGTAATGAAAAACTTATACGTCCAATGAAAGAAAATTCTGATATTATATTTTACGTCCACGACGAAGAATTATATGATATTTTACTTAACATTCACCTATCTATTGGACATGGTGGTAGAGACAGAATGATGTATGAACTCAAAAAAAAATATAAAAATATTACTCAATCAAACGTCAAAATTTTTTTAAATTTATGTGAATCATGTGTAAAAAAACAAAAAAGTGAAAAAAAAGGTATCGTGACAAATCCTATGATTTTTTCTGAATTAAATAGTAGATGTCAATTAGATCTTATTGATTATCAAAGTCAAGCTGATGGTGAATATAAATTTGTGTTGGTGTATCAAGATCATTTGACTAAATTTTGTATTATAAAACCATTAAAATCGAAAAGAGCTGAAGAAGTAGCATATTGTCTCATAGATATTTTTACGGTGTTCGGTGCTCCAAGTGTACTACAAAGTGACAACGGTCGTGAATTCAGAAACCAAACAATAGATTCATTAAAAGAAATGTGGCCTGAATTATCTATTATTCATGGCAAACCTCGCCACAGTCAGTCCCAAGGATCAGTGGAGAGGGCAAATCAAGATATAGAGAATATGATAATTACCTGGATGAAGGACAACAACACAACAAAATGGAGTGAAGGGCTAAGGTTTATTCAATTTATGAAAAATAAAGCTTTTCATAGGGGGATAGGACGAAGTCCTTATGAAGCTATGTTCGGATGTTCCCCAAAAGTAGGAATTTCTTCAAATACTCCAGACAATATTTTGAAAGTTTTGAATACAGACAAAAGTTTAAATAATAAAATTAACAAAGATTTAGAGAAAAATAACTGTAAAATATGCAAACATATATTTATGGAAAATGAAGGGAATACCGAGGAAGAATTGTGTCAACTTTGCATAAATAAAGAAAATATTTCCAATAAAAGAGAAGAAGCAAAAAAATGCTTAGAACGTCAAGCTAAAAGAATGAAACTACAATCAGATATGTCTCATCCACCTGCTCTTCAAGGATGTAACGTACGAATCAAAATTCCAGATGTTGACAGGTCAAAATGTGATCCACAATCTATAATTGCAATTGTATTAGAAAAAACAACCGACGGATTTTATCGCTTAGGTAATTTTTTTTTAATTTTTTTATTAATAATTCAAATAATTTTGTTTTAGGAACTAAATACGGTATACTAAAACAACATTACGCGAGGTCACAATTTAGTTTATGCACAGAAAAGTTTATTACGCTTAGTGACGTTCCAGATGTAGATATTTGCCTTCGAAAAGCATCCGAATCCCAATCACTTGGTAATGGACAAGGGTTTTTTAAATGTACATGCCAACAAAAGTGCACCACAAAACGGTGCATATGTTTAAAAAATAATTTACTTTGTAATTCTAAATGCCACCCAAAAAGTTCCTGTACTAATAAATAAATTGTAAATTTAAAAAAAAAATTAATATTAATATTTTATATAATAATAAAACTTTTATTCAATAATAGTTTTCAATACATTAACTAAACCATTATTGTTAGTTTATAAAATATCTAGTTGGTATGTAGAATAACTAGTTGAAGTATATATTTATGGATTCATTCAATACATTAACTGAAAGTACCCGTAATTCTATAAAATAACTAGTTATTCTATAGAATTACGGAATTTCATACATTAACGCTAACATATACAATTTGTTTCAAAATTGGTTAAAATGATATGGACACTTTTAATTGATTAAATTGGCTTTTGGAGATATTTCACTAAGCCGTTGTGTAACTTTTGACTGATTTAAACCTTTAAAGAAGATTAGATATCAGTTGAAGATGACCATCCTGGCGTTCATCAATATAAAAACAAATTATATCATAACTCTTGTTTGAAACAAAATTAGATACGATTAAAAATTAATTGTTAGAGAAGTAGCCGAAAAAGTTGGCATATCAATTGGTACTTGTCATTCAATTTTATCAGATGAATTGGGTATGAAAAGAGTGTCGGCAAAATTAGTGCCGAAATTATTAATTGAAGAGCAAATGGAAGTTTGTTTGGAACTAAAAAATCAGGTTTTTAATGATCCAAGTTTTATAAAATCAATTATTACGGATGATTAAACATGGGTACATGGATATGATCCTGAAACCAAAGTTTAATTATCGTAATGGAAGACAGCAAATTCACCTCGTCTAAAAAAATGTTGTCAGGTTTGGTCAAACATCAAAGCAGTGCTCACTGTTTTTTTGTTTTGTTTTTGGTTTAGTCCGTTATGAGTTCGTGCTCAAGGGTCAGACAGTAAATCAAGTGTTCTATAAACAAGTATTAGAAAGGTTAAGAAAAAATTACGCCGTAAAAGACCAGAAGCGTGAAACTTAAGTCGTGGTTTTTGCACAATGACAGTGCACCAGTACATTTAGTACTTTCCATACGTGAATTTTTGGCATCTAAAAATATACTTTAATGGATACTTTAATGAATACCTGTACAGGAAGAAAGTGCTCAAAGTCCACCTTGCAACATTTGCAAGGAGCTAGTTGATGACGAAGAATATATATTATTAAGGTATTTAGGTAGAATTGGTGGCGGCAGCTGAACATGGAAAATAGAAAAGACGTAATCCCAGAGAATGCGGTGGAATTGATGCTGGAGAACAAGAATCTATGGAGACTCGTGTTGGGATTGTTTGAGAGGATCATGGCGACCAAATGCCAAGAAGAAAAACGGCAGCAAGAACCCTAGTTAAGTAAATAAAAATGTAGAACGAAGGTCATATTAAAGTATTTTGTATGTACTTATTATGTATTGCAGATTATTATTAATAATAAATAGTATGCCGGCTAGGGGGTAAGTAATGGCTAACGCTAACTCCCTTAGTTGTGATTCGTGAGAGCTCCTGTGGCAGGGTTTATACCACCACACACTCTTATTAAAACAAACCTAGTCACCTCCAATGAATTGCATACGGATTATTTTCAGTAGGTAAATGAACGGAAAGAAAACCACAAACCACAATATGGAAAGTCAAATTAAAAATATTGATACTACTCCCAAGGTGTCGGAGCCTTAGAAGTCATTGGTAGCAGACAAATCCGGGTTAAATGCAAAATAAAATTCTAGGTGAAATCTAAACCAACGTGCTACCGCTGTCAGGGCAATGGATATATAACGGTTAACTACTTCAGGGAACAAAAGTACTACTGATGCAACAAATCTGGTTATATGGCGTGAGACTTTTGAGGCTCCCAAAAAGGCGAAGGGGCAAACTATCAAGAGAAAGAGCCCTCTGGGCTTGACAATAATAAATTATTATTTTTGTCCAGTATAACCTGAACCACTGTTAAATGGCTCAAGATCTGCTCAGGCAGTACATGCCTACGCAGAAAACGAATGTCGCCCTTATCGGCGACTCAAACAGGGAAGATTCCTATTATGTGCCAGTCCCTAATAGAAATTACGATACAAGACCATGACAGATAGACAGCGTTCAAAAATTTCTGCCACATAGTGATCACAAGAATAGAAAAAGTGGAGCAGTTCAGACGGAGCGAACAAATGGCAATTTTTTTAGAGAAACTTAGGTTAATTAAATGTAATGTGAACCAAAGAATAATTTTTAGATGGCGTAGGGCTATCAGTTCATTGTGAACTACAAATGTGGTTAATGTTAAGCATATTATTGTTATTTTGATATGACCAATGAACGATGTAAAGAAGCAGATGAAGTACCCTACCAGGTATTTCAGATTCTCTACGTTTACAATACCATAGATAAAAAGGCTAAGTTCACACCGTATGAACTGATCGGTATTGAGAGGATAAAAGCCAGAAAGAAAGCCATCGAACTAAACGAACTGAACATGACGCTGGTGACTGCGGTGCACCAGGCTTGCCCCGAGCTACTGCTCAAGTTGTTCAACAGTTGTCTATCGACCGGCATCTTTCCATTCAGTTGGAAGCTTGCGAGATTGGTATTGATCAGAAAAAAGGGCAAACCGATTAACAAGCCGTCGTCGTACAGAACTCTAAGCCTTCTGAATGACGTCGGAAGCTCTTCGAATTCCTACTGGTCCGGAGATTGGAGACATATATCGAGTGCAAAGAGGTCTGTCTCAAGCTCAGTACGGGTTCAGAAGCAGACTATCAACGGTAGATGCAGCATTGGCCCAAAAGAACCTGGCAATCGAAGCAGTGAACCGCAGGGACATTTGCGTCGCGGTCAGTCTCAACATCCGCAACGCATTTAACTTTATCGGCAGGGACCACGTTCTGACGGCTCTAACGCACTGGAAAGTACCTGTCTATCTCCGGAACGTCATTAGCTTATACTTCAGCGGCTATCAATTCCCCAGATGCCCCTAAAGGACTTCGGACAATACCCGTTACTTGTATAAGTCGTTCCGGACGAGCATCGGCCACCGACGATCGCTCACGGGTGTCATGACCGTCGCAGGTCAAACAGCGTCTCATGTTCCGACTGTTGTCCAAAGAACTTTACAGCGGCTTTACAAGGACTCTACGTTGAATTCATCAAATTGCGCCCAACCATTGAAGGTTAACTTAAGTGAATACATTTCATTGAGCAGCACTTATATAGCATTTTTAAATAATCTCAGTTCAATTGAAAATGCTGATGAACCAAATATTAAACAAATTTTTATGCTTCTACTAAACTAAATTATGAAACTTCATTGATGATCATGAAGGTAAAAAATATACATACCTAACTCATTAGTACTTATTGAAATTATTCTTATTTTAAATTATGATATAATTCAATATAATACATTTGGTAACCCCTCAGCAGAATGGTCCAATATTCCTAGTTAAGCTAATGTCAATGAGATTGATATTAAAAATAAGAATATTTAAAATAGTTCTGATATTGTTGGAAATTGTAATAAAAACGTTTTTATCAATTTTCTTGTTCTAACGAAAAGTTAGATTAATTGAAATTAATAAAATAGGCGCTTAATATAAATTATTTATTGGTACAAATGTGCAATTAAGATAACTTTGACATTTCGGCTGCATTGCAAGCACAATTTTTAGTACTACAACTAGTTTAACAGTTATAACGATTTAACCCTTGGATGACAAGCTACTCCTTATCCAGAAACTTCGCGTAGAGTTATTTCTCCGTTTGTAATTTTATAACTCTAGCATTATTTTAATTTTTAACTTCTATACTATGAAAAATCACTGTAACATTTCCATTAGATAAAATAAATCTGTTTTAAATTTAAAAATAAATTAAATTAAATCATTTTTATAATCGTAGATAAGAGACATTTTATCTATAAAGTATTTGCAATAACATGTAGGTCCATAACACAATACATAATGATTAAATCTAAACTAAAATTCTTATGTTTATATAAAATAACACAAATCAATTTTTTTTAAATAAAATATTTACTTGGCTATTAAATTATTTATAATTTCATCTTAACTTACAAATTTAACGTTCGTATTGAAATTGAAGGTCATTTAGCTCTACTGAAAATTATTGAAAATGTAGACACGAGATATAGCGATTTCACTAAATAATTATTAACACTGTAAAAATTACTATTTTTTTAATCCTTTTTCATCGTAATTGTATCAGTTAGAGCTTATTAGCAAAAAAATACTAAACCTTAAACAATATTCAAAAACATTTCTCAGTTATTCAATAATAAAACTTTTTTGAACCTAATGAATTCAAACTCACATATGATTATAATCTAATTTGATCAGTTGTGCACATAATGGAATAATAAAATTGTTAACAATGCTGTTGAAGTTTATATTGTGCTGATCTAATGAACACTATTATACCTCGCATCGTTTAAGACAAGTCCAAGATATACATTAAACAAATTACAGAAATAAAATCTAAAAAGTATTAAAGTAGGCTTGCACTACCATAATTAAAAATATCGCAATTTTGAGCATACAATGCATGCATCCATTACATCTTCGATCTAAATACAAATATTTCAATCAAAAGATTATTAAGTAAAGAATAAATATTTTCAACACTTTAAAATATTTTATTTATATAAGATTATAAAATAAAAAAAATAACAAGTTAATAAATAAATATATGCATTTAATTAAAAATATATAAAATAAACAGTAAAAATACTTTGTTGTTTGTTTTCATACTTTCCCTCATAAAATTATAAAAAAAAAAACATTGAAACTTAAAACTTTATGATAAACAGATACTTATAAAATTTATCTTTTTTATTTTGTTTGCCACAAAAAAACATTTATTAACAAGTGCTCCATATAAAACAATAAAAAAAAAAAAATGGAAAAAAACCATTTGGAAATCAAAAATAAAAAAAATGGATCTTATCTTAAAATTAAACAAATAAATAACTTTTTTCTCCAACAATTTAATTGAAGCATAATACATCTTCTATTATACAATATTAATATTTTATAGCAATGTTATATAAGCATTTTCATTTGGTGTTTCTTAGAATACATAATTATAAATTATTTAAAATGATCCATCTATTAATTGTTAATTATTTTATTCTGTTACCCCCCAATGAAAATTGAATACGAACAAGTTTTAACAGGGACATAAAAGATGATTTTTTACATTTTAGTTTTGTAACAGCTCCATCAAGTTCATCAAATTCTCTTTTTCGTTTGGTTGCAATACTTTTGTCATGTTTAAACACTTCTTTAACAACTTTTATTGGTGAAATATCACGAGACTCGCATTTAGAACCAAAATTCCCTTTTTTGGTAGATTTTGTTAATAAAATATTAGGAGACTCCTGATTCTGATATGCCATCTCTATTTTATCACAACCTTTTGATTTTCCTATAACAAAAAAAAAACTTACGTTGTACGGCTGAGGAGATTAAAATAATAATTTGTATTTAAAATTTAACTACTATTATCAACAGTAAAATTATATTAGTACATGTATTATGTACCACTTGGCATGTATGTTTTGAATCTTAATTGATGTATTCCTATAAATTAATATCAACATTATACTTTTCCAAAAAAATGTTATCATTTAATACAGTGGCTCCAAACACACATAATCATAAATTTTGGAATACACATATAAACATTTAAAGAAATTCTTTATTATCAGTATTGAGAATCAAGAAATTATAACATAATACATTGGATTTTAGTAGATTAACCATCAAGCTGAGCTTGAATAACAATTTTAAAAGTGTCATACAACATAGATCCATAGATGTATAAGTAATTAAATATCAAGTACATCAAAATGTAAAACTTAAACTAATGTGTTCTTGTATTCAGCAATTAGCCCTCGCCCAATATTCATCTTACACTTATTAACTACTCACATAATTATTCTAAAATGGTGGATGGTTGCTCCTACACTTGTGTTCGGTGTTTCTAATTTAAGATGACTATTTAATACAAATTAATTTATAAAAATTAATACTAAATGTAGTATTAAGATTATACAATAATACATAATATTTATTACTCAATTAAAACTAGATAAATGTATTAGTTAAAATTCCAATTTCCTCTTCATTATATTTTATTTTATGGATATAAAAATTAGTGTTTTTACTGTCTCATATAAATCACTTAATATTTGTGTATATAACCATGAGACAAGAACTTAATTTGTTACACTCATTGCTAATAAGTAATAAGTAATAATATTGGGAAAAAAATGTTTAATACCTTTCATAATTCTTGATAGAGATATTTTTGAAATAGCGTTTTCAAAAATTGTTGGTACAGCATCCGAGTAAAGTATTCGCCTCTTTAAATTGATTTAAAACACGTAGGCTAAAAATGAAATGAGCATATCTTATGGTTTGGCAAAATTTCTCTA